TCTTGGCTATGAGTCCAGGAAACACTCTAGTGACATGTCATAATTTTCATTTTGTCTGTTCTTATCACACATGTGTCAGTGAGATTAAAAGCAGCAGAAGAAGCAGAGACACACAGGCTCTAAAGAAATATTTTACAGGGAAGTGAATTAATGGAAACTTTATGGTTTAACATATGAAATGCATGCTTACTGCTGTGTTTACAGCAGTGAGGTGATGCCAGCATTTTAATGAGGCCATGCTTAACGACCATCTTAGCTCTATATAAGCAGGATGCCTGTTTTTCAGAGAGGGGTTAGACAAACTCTTCCTTTGTTCTGTCAATCACAGTTTGCCTAACCATAACTGAGGACAGAGATACTACTTGGCAAATGCAAAGCTGCTCAGAGAGCAAATGGCATATACTGAACACAGAGATTGTAGTGAGCTTGAAAAGTGGAAGTGGGGAAAGGTTGGTAATGGTCTTGTCCTTGCACAAAGGTTAGGGGGAGCTGAGGGCAGCTTCCCCAGAAAGACATCCACAATATAGAAAAACTGGTTTAATCCAAAAGCAAGAGACTTACTTCTCATAAGTCAAAGTATTAGGCTCCATGGAGAAATTAGCCTTCACAGAAGTCATTACAGAGGACCCAAGTAGGAAGAAAAATAAAAAAAAAAAAATATTAAACCATGCTTCCCTTCACTTTGGTGGCAAGAACTTGTCAAAGGGTGAGCATTCTCATTGAACCAATAACTGCTCTTATGCCTCCTAGATCCAGTGACATGGAATCGTGTACATATTCATTTTTATAATAGAGTGAGAGCATGTATGAACTTGAGCTGTCCTTGAATGAAGGAGGAATGCAATGGCTAATATGTAAGCTGTGCTTCAATGTCTTGGTAGGATAGGTCAGAAAAAAAACATGAAACAGTGATGAGAACATCAATTTGAAGAACTTCTATGGCAGTAAGGATAGCGTAGCTCCTTCTAGAGGCACTAAATCATGAAGTTTAAGAAATGAAATTTCCTTAGCATTTCAATGTTGAGAGCTTTGTAACAAGCTGGCTCCTGGATAAGGGCCATGGCCAGATTAATCTGCAGTGCAAGTTTGGGACCATAACAGCGATAGGGGCCGCAGAAGAGGCCAGGGTAGACGCGGCGGCGGCAAGGATGCGCGTGTTCATCATCTGGTGTGCAAGTCTTCCTTCTCCATCATTTCAATTTCAGGGAAAATTAGAACTATATTTCTTTCATCCCCCCAGTTCCTTGCATACTAAGTTTTCATTCAACCTTCAGTTAATTCACTGATGCATTCATTGGTCTGAGCTTGGTATATACCTTGAGACAAAGTACTTCCTTTATGTTGCAGTAATTACCTCAGACAGAATTTATTGAAAATATTCTCTTCATTTTTAAAATCTTTTTATTAAATGGCTCTAATAACATATACTTACCTCATACTTTTTTTTCAGCCCCAAAATCTATTTGCCTCAGTATAATAAGGTTTAATGATTTGGCACCCAACAGTTTTGTGACAAGCTGTCTTTAGCTTGGTGTAGGCAATACGAAGCAAAGCACCTCCAGCCAGCAGCCAGTGGCTGGAGGATTACCGATTCTTAACTAAATCAGTAATCTTATACTACTATTTACACTCTGTTGATTCTTGAAGTGTAGGCAAGTTGATTTATGCAGCAGACATTGAAATTCTCAGAGAGCAGGAAAGATATTATATACTTGTACATCATAATGAGCTATAACAATTTGTTCTAGTTTGGAAACTTAAATTCTGATGACAGCACAAAGACTGCACAAAGACTTACATAAACAAAGTCAAGCAGGATAGGGAAGCACAGGTCAGGCTTCCTCACTGAACTCCTTTTACCTTCTTCAGTCTTTTTTGTTTGTTTTACACACACAATGGTTGCTGAAGCTTTTGGACAGATGGTAAAGCCCTTTTCCAATTAAATTACAATTAAAGTGGTTGGAGCTGATCTACAATTTTGAATAATTCTTTTTTAATGTATTAAATATTTTCTTGTTTTGATACAAAACTGCAGTGTGTATCAATATGTTTTTGATTTTCTGAATAGTTTTATACCTACCCTTCCAATTACATTTATGACAGATGTAAGTTTGCACACAGACCCAAATGTGGCTCTGAATGGCCTGATTCTGATAATCAGTAAACAGAAAACCTCTTCTAGATGAAAAACTGTAAATGGCTTTTAGACAAACATTTGAAGAAGTGTGTCCTAGTTGCCCTGGGAGGAAGAGCCCTGAGACTATTTTGATACAGAGCAATAAAATTCAATACAGGCCACAATAATTTGGTTATATAATTTCTAAATTTGCAGACACCTCTGAGAAATTTTTGTAAGTTGCTCTGACTCTTGAAAATTCCACTAATAAAAAGATGAATTATACTTATTGTTTAAAATTCATATTCAGCAAAACACTGAGTAGACATAATGTCCTGTAATCAGGGATTAATCATATGTGTACGGCTACAGTATAATCAAACAGTTTGTAAGTTACCCTCAGGTAAAGTCTATTCATTTGGGAAAATCCACAAATGTTTACAACTACTTTGCATTTGAAAGTTCAGATTAACTTAAAAAAAGAGTAAATTTATTTTTAACCCTACGACCTGTAATCACCTGTAATACTTTGGAAGCAATAACAAGGTAAGTGCCAAAGAAGATGGTATTTTCCCTAGCTGCCAGTAGAAGAGCACTGATGCTAGAAAATTGATGTACTCAGTTTCTTGCTACAGCAAGTGACAGAAACAGTCTACTACTCTATCTACTATATCTACAGAGAATTTAAGGAAAAGCACTAGTAAATTACAGATGATTGAGAAACAGAATCCCTTTCCAAAAGCCCAGCAATATGGTATGTTAGCAGAATCACAAACAGAGAATAATATTTCCCCGCTTTTGTACTACTTTATTTTGCAAGTGAAATTTCAGGCACTTCAGCAAACAGAGGTGCCTGGTGAGATTTTGAAAGAAGATGGTAGCTGCTTACTTCCCTGAGTTCCTCTGTGATCTACTAAGTAGTTCTTCACAATTGCAGCTAACAGATGAGGGAGTGGAATGCTTTCTCTCAGGATGCTCAGTAAAAGTACTATGAATCATCAAGCACCATACTCCTTAACAGTACCACAAATATACCTACTTCTGTATAAAAGCAGCCAACACCCTGTCACACTGGACTTTTTCAAGGCCCTAAAATGGCCTTTAAGTGAATGTTCCTTTGCACATCAGCTAGTACTCACCACCTGAATGAATTGAGCATATTGTGAACTTCGCACACTTGTTCACAGAGAAGTACATTGTAGGGCAGGAATTGTAATAAGGCAGATTTATGGCTTAAGAACCTTGTGAATCAAAGCGGTAGGTTTGGGGAAAGTTGTCACCAAGCATTGCCTTTCATGGTGTGTCATTTTTATTGCTGTTTTGTTCCCTCTCAAAGCTAATCAAGTTAAATCCATCTGAAATGAAGTATAAACTTTACATTGCACAAGCTTACCAAAACTATTCTGAATAATATCAGCCAGAGAGAATTTAGTCAGACTACCTGGGGTCCAGAAATATGTGTATCTCACATTACACGTAGATTTTCTTCAAGATTTCATTTAAATTCTACATTACTTAATGAGAATTTGGAGAAAAAAGTTTTACATCTCCAGGTCTTCACCAGAAACCAGGCATTCCTAGAAGCAAGAAAAATTACATATATCTAGCAGGTTATAGCTGATGCATTTTGAAAATCAGCTACTTGGTGATAGCACAAATACGATTGTATAAAGATAAGTTTTGCTATGGGGCCAGAACAGGGTACAAATATATAAAAGAAAGAATAGATCGGAAGGAAAAAGGGTCAGTATGCCCAGTGGCACAAATTTCCAGCTCGGTTAGCCAGGGTGGGCCAGGGTGAGTGCCCACAAACAGAGGCAATTTTCCAGGGGAAAAAGAAGTCCTTTGCCCAGGCTCTGGGTATCAGATGAAAGCTGGAAATTAGGGCTCTTAGGATGTGCAGGGACCTAGATTCTGACCACTTTAGTTTTGGAGAATACCAGCAAAATTTGGAAATTTCTAGCTTGGGGGGTCAGAGTGGACCAGGGAGAGAGGCCACAAACAGAGGATATTTTCCAGGAGAAAAAGAAGCCCTTTGCCCAGGCTCTGGGTATCAGATGAAAGCTGGTGATTAGGGCTCTCAGGATGTTCAGGGACCTAGATTCTGACCACTTCAGTTTTGGAGAATACCAGCAAAATTTGGAAATTTCTAGCTTGGATGGCCAGGGTGGGCTAGGGCAACTGGTCGCAAAGAGAGGCTATTTTCCAGGGGAAAAAGAAGTCATTTGCCCAGGCTCTGGGTATCAGATGAATGCTGGTGAATAGAGCTCTGAGGACTTGCAGGGACCTCGATTCTGACCACTTCAGTCTTGGAGAAATCCAGGAAAATTTGCAAATTTGTAGCTTGGTTGGCCAGGGTGGGCCAGGGCGACTGGTCGCAAAGAGAGGCTATTTTCCAGGGGAAAAAGACGTCCTTTGCCCAGGCTCTGGGAATCAGATTAATGCTGGTGAATAGAGCGCTGAGGACTTGCAGGGACCTCGATTCTGACCGCTTCAGTCTTGGAGAAATCCAGGAAAATTTGCAAATTTGTAGCTTGGTTGGCCAGGGTGGGCCAGGGCGACTGGTCGCAAAGAGAGGCTATTTTCCAGGGGAAAAAGACGTCCTTTGCCCAGGCTCTGGGTATCAGATGAAAACTAGCGATTAGGGCTCTTAGGACTTGAGTTGCCCTGGATTGTGACCACTTTAGTTTTGGAGAAACAAGGCTGACCCAGCTGCTCCTCCACAGGAAGAGGAACTACCCTGGGACCTGGTCCTGTCTGCAAGGAACTTTGTTTTTACACTGCACCATCCAGAAGAGCAGGGGTTTGGATTTGGCACCCTGTCCAGGCTCTGGAGGGAATTTCAGGGACACGTCTACTTCTATCCTGTTTAGACGTCGATGCTCAGGAGCAAGGAAGAGAGTTGGGAGAAATTTCAAAACATGAAAAGATACGGAGCAATTCTGTCCCACTTGACGTTGAGCATGCCAGAGACGATGCCAAAATCTTCTGGGGGGAAGGAATCATCCGACAGCTCCACATCTAGGGCAGCACTGAACACAACAAAGAGGGGGATGAGGCAGCAATCTTAAGCTTTGCCATCTGCTCACAGGCTCTGCAGCAAAGTGCATTGACAGTTCCAAATAGAAGAACTGATTTTTCAGAGATGAAATGTCACCAGTAGAAGATGGGGAGGAGAGCTGAGGTATCTTACAGGGAGACTGCAGAGGGAGGAAGGCAAAGCTGAGAGAAACAACCACAAGGACAGGAAAAACACCATTTTTTCCACAACACGATTTGGCAATTTGCTGAAGTTCAGATACCATCCCATGGATACACATGTTGGCCTAAATAATAATGAAATCCCACATACAAAATTACAGGATCTCATAATTGTTGCATCAATTCAACATTACAGCACCATATATTCTTCTGTTGGCAGTACTGTGCTCAGAGTGCATTATTCTGCCTTTAAAAAAATCTAAAAAACAAAATCTCAAAGCCCTTTAATAGTGTTTGCATTTTGTTCAATCAGCTTTTCATTCTGGAATGAAGCTTTTTACCAGCATGGTGGAAGTTCTGTTTTATCCTTGACAGGTCCTTAGTTAAGTCCTGATAGCAAAACGGAATTTTCATTAAAAAGAATAAACGTGAAAAAGAGCTCAGAAAGCCAAGAAAGGGAGCTGCATGCGTGGGGAACAGAGTGTCACAGGACACCACAGGAACTACACCACGCTGGACTGACAGCTTGAGCAGCCACGAGGTGAAAGCAGGGACAATGGAAGAGGAAGGAACAGGCAAATTTCAGGGTAAATCCTTCAGGCACTGCTGGAAAGCTCAGAGTTAGAGGCAGCAAAAGCAACAGCACATCATGGAGCTCAGAAATTGCCTTGTACCCTGAAGCCACACAGAGAACATTTGTTCGTGGTCAGTACTGAAGCCTGGACAGAACTTACCTGGAGCCAACATTGTAGATGTTGTACTGCAAAGTCAAGTCCTTGCCCTCCACTGCATATCTGTTTAACAGGGATTTGGAGGCCAGCAGCCTGGCACCATCCTCGCAGTGAGCCACAGACACCAGGGCAAACACGGCAAGAAGCAGGAGCTTCATCTAGAAACACAAGGAAATGGAATGCCACTGGTCATTTGAAATCTCTGAACACTTGCCTGTGAGGATGTAAGAATTGGCATGGCAGTGTCCCAGATCTGCAGCCATGGAAGAAAAGTTCATGGTCTTCTCCCCTTTCAAAGCCCTGGCCAGTATCACTCCCTTTCACAGAATCACGGAACATTCTGAGTGGAAAGGGACCCAAAAAGATCATCGAGTCCAAGCCCTGGCCCTGCACATCTCAATAATGGGCAAAGCTTTCAGATCACTAAGCCTCTTCTAGCGACTTCCAGAGCAAAGGCTTTGGTAATTAACAATTTCATCACTTTTAGCAACTAATGGTCAATTGCCCTTGCAAAGCCTGGCAACTTTCCAGCACTGTCTTACACAACAGAATTAGTTCTTCTCAGAAAGCACAGCTCCTCACTTCCAACATGATTCTTCCCTATTTCCAGCCACTGCAGAATCACCAGCTCCCTCCAGTGGCTTTTATGATCCCCTGCACAAGTCCCTGCTTCAGGCCACGTGGTCTGACTTACCCAAACACAGTGCCTCTGCAGCCACCCTGCTGAGAGGACAAGGAGACAACAGCAACACTACAGATGTGACCAGTGAGGACACTTGATGGGGCTTTTAAATGCAAAAACTGCTTCGAAATCAGGGCTTCTGCCCTCCACAGTCACAGGGTGGCTGGGGTTGGACAGCACTGTAAAGACCATGCAATTGCCATGGGCACCTTCCACTAGCCCAGGCTGCCCCAAGCTCCATCCAACGTGGCCTTGGACACTTCCAGGGATGGGGCAGCCACAGCTTCTCTGGACAACCTGTGCCAGTGACTCACCTCCTTCACAGGGACCAATTTCTTCCCAATATCCCATCTAACTCTGCCTCTGGCAGTGGGAAGCCTTGTTTTGTCACTCCAGGCCCTTGTCCAAAGTCCCTCTCCAACTCTCTTGGAACCCCTGTAGGCCCTCAAAGGCGCTCTAGAGTCTCCCTGGAATCCTCTCCTCTCCAGACTCAACACCCCCAGCTCTCCCAGCCTGTCTCCAGAGCAGAGGGGCTGCAGCCCCTGGATCATCTCTGTGGCCTCCCCTGGACTCACTCCAGCAGCTCCTTGTCCTCCCTGTGCTGGGACCCCAGAGCTGGAGGGAGCTCTGCAGGGGAGGGTCTCAGCAGAGCAGAGGGGCAGAATCCCCCCCATCACACGCTGCCCACGCTGCTGGGGATGAGCCCAGGGCAGTGTTGGCTTTCTGGCCCCAGTGCACGTTGCCACGGCATCCTGAGCTCCTTGTCAACCCATGCCCCACATCCTTCCCAGGGCTGCTCTCCATCCATTCTCCCCCGGCCTGTTTGTGTTTCGGGCTGCCCCAATGCAGGTGCAGCACCTGCCCTTGGCCTCGCTGAAACCCCTGCGCTTGGCACGGACCCTCCTGCCCAGCCCGTGCCAGCGCGGCTGCCAGAAGCCCCTTCCTTCCCCCAGTCCTGCCCTGCTGCAGCCGCACAGCAGCGCACGCAGCCCAGGCTGCTCCTGCCCACTCACGAAGCCCAGAGGGACTCCAGGACACCTCTCAACAGGGAAGCGCCCGATTCCACCCACGCTGCCCGCGGAAGAGCCCGACTGTGACGCTCCAGCGCCAGAAACCGGCCGGTCGTTCCTGGCCCCTCAGAGCCCAGGACCGATCCTCTCTACAGACCCTCCCCAGCGCCCCCCGCTCCGGCCCGAGGACACGGCCTCCAGCTGCCCCGCGCCGCCCGCCCCTCACCGTCTCTCCCGCCGCCAACGCCGCAAAGGCGAGTCAGCGCCACGGCGGCGGAAATGACGCACACGAACCGCGCCGCAGGTAGGCCCTGTGCTCCCTGGGAAATGGAGTCTTGGCCCGGGCACACGCAGGGACTCCGCGCCTGCGCAGGACACGCTTCCTGCGCTGCCTCATTGCCCAGTGTGGTGGAAGTGGCGGCCGGCAGCGCGGCCTGCTGGGCCGGGCTCTGGTAAGGAAGGCTTTGGAGAGGAGCAGCAGGTGTCTCTCGACACGACAAGTAACTCTGACCACGCGAGCAGCCTGCCCAGGTCCGTGGTGGATATGTCAAGCAGTGAAGAAGGAGTGAAGGAGAAGGAGCAGGGCTAAATTCCTCGAGAATCAAGTGCACAGAACCCCAGGGTCTCCCTTCCTGCACTCAGGACTCCCTGCTTGACTCACTCCCTGAAGACAGGCTGCAGCCTTCTGCTGCCGTGGAACAGGACATGTCCCGACCTCCCTAGTGCAAAGCCAGCAGCATAAGAAACCTGTTGGTGTTTCCAGCACTGCAGGAAGACCTGAGAGCTCCCCTGTGCCCATATCTCTGAGGCAGATACCTCTGGTGGGGGAAAGGCCTCAGGACCCTCCTGTGTACAGATTTTGCTCCTCACATGTGGAACTGGGGGTATATGACTTCATCACCTGAAGTGGTATTTGGAGGATTAACCATTGGTATATAAACAGACCAAACTTATATCTGTCTGAAAAGCATTTGGTTATCCTCCATTTTAGGTACAGCTCCTTGGGGAAATTTCATCTGCCCGTAATTTACGTGAAGACCCTTCATTAAATATATCTATTTGTATTCCCTGAATTCTGTCTGGCCTCTGTTTTTATGTAAGGGTTTTTCATTTTTGAGAAATCCAGCGAAGTGTGCAAAATTTTTCGCCTTGCAGCCCAGTGTTGGCCAGTGTGACTGGTGGCAAACGGACACTGTTTTCCATGGGAAAAAAAAGACATTTCCTCAGGGTCTGGGTATCAGCTTAAAGGTGGCGTTTGGGGCTCTTAGGGATAGTAGGGTCTTAGTTGTAGGCATCTTTTGATTTTGAGAATACCAGCAAAGTTTCCAAATTTTTAGGTTGGCACCGTATTGTTTGCTAGTGCAAGTGGCTGCAAACAGATGCCGTTTTCCATGGGAGAGAGAAGTCATTTCCCCAGGGTCTGGATATGAACTCAGAGGTGGCATTTGAAACTCTTAAGGGAATGCTGGATCCTCCTTGCTAGGAAAATTAGTTTTGGAGAAATCTAGAAAAGTTTGTAAATTTCTAGCTTGGCACCACACTGTCTGCGAGGGCGAGTGGCCACAAAGGGATACCATTTTTCAAGGGAAAAATATATCGTTTCCCCAGGGTCTGGATATCAGCACAGAGGTGGTGTTTGGGGCTCTAGGGTCTTGCGTGGTCCTAGTTGCTGGCAGCTTTAGTTTTGGAGAAATCCAGCAAGGTTTGCGCTGTTTTAGATTGGCAACCCCGTGCTGGTCTTTGTGAGCGGTTGCAAGCAGAGGCCATTTTTGATGGAAAAGAGAAGTCATTTCCCCAGTGACTGGGTATCAGATGAAAGGTGGCATTTGGGGGCTCTAAGGGCATGCATGGTCCATCTTCCTGGCAACATTAGTTTTTGAGAAATCTAGCAAAGTTTACAAATTTTTAGCTTGGCACCCTATTTTTGGCCAGTGCAAGTGGCCACAAATAGAGGCAATTTTCCAAAGGAAAGAGAAGTAATTTCTTCAGGGTCTAGGTGTCAGCTCAGAGGTGGCATTTGGGGATCTAAGGGCTTGCATGGTCCTAGTTCCTGACAGCTTAAATTAGGATTAATCCAGCAAAGTTTGTGAATTTTTAGGTTGGCACCCTATTATTGGCCAGGGTGAGTAGCCACAAACAGGCAATATTCCATTGGAAAATGAAGTAATTTCCCCAGGGTCTGGGTACGAGCTCAGAGGGGAAATCTGGGACTCTTAGGGCATGTACAGGCCTAGTTCCAGGCATCTTAACTTAGGATTAATCCAGCAAAGTTTTCAAGTTTTTAGGTTAGCACCCCATTGTCAGCCTGTGTGAGTGGCTGCAAAAGGAGGCGATTTTCCAAGGGAAAAAGAAATCATTTGCCCAGGGTCTGGGTATCAGATGAAAGCTGGCGATTAGGGCTCTCAGGATATGCAGGGATCTAGATTCTGACCACTTCCGTTTTGGAGAAATCCAGCAAAATTTGCAAAATTCTAGCTTGGGTGGCCAGGGTGGGCCAGGGCGAGTGGCCTCAAACAGAGGCTATTTTCCAGTGTGTCCCAGGGTGAGGTTATGATGCTTGTATCCACAATTGTGTGTTCTGTTAGTGCTGGATATTATGTACTGTGCATTTGGGACTGGCTCTAAAGAGCAAAGTTTGTTTTGGTTTGTCACCAGCCTCCTCCCCCACGGTTGGCAGGACAGAGAGACAGGGCAGTACATTGTGCGGTTTTTGCTTTTTGCTTTGCTTTTTGCTGCTTTACTTTGCTCTTGCTCCTGCTCTGCTCCTGCTTTGTTCCCGCTCTGCTTTTGCTTTTTTTGGTTCTGTTAGTTTAGCTAAGCAATCCAGATTTTTCCCTGGACTGTTTTCCCCTTCCCTTCTTGAAACCATTCAAACCTGCTCCGGACTGGGACCTGGGAAACACCGAGAGTTTACATCTTGTGGCTGCAGCAGCTATCTCCAGCACCGGACGGGGCAACAGCAGAGGGACCACTAACAGGAAAGACTTTCTGAATTTGTCATCCTTTTCAGATGGGTGAAACTGTTGTCATCTGGTATTGTTCATTTTGTGTGCTGGGGGTGTTCTGCTTGTTAAATGAACAGGACCTTTCCACTTCTCTCCGAGGAATCCTTCCTGAACCGGAGGGGGAAAGGGGCTGTGTGGGTTTGTTTTCTGGGGGAGCCCCCATTAGAGGTTTTCTTCCAGATTTGCCCTAGACCAGGACAATCTGATACCTAGAGGGTGGGCAAATGATTTCTTTTTCCCCTGGAAAATTGCCTCTGTTTGCGGCCACTGGCCATGTCCGTCCCTGGCCACCCAAACTAGAAATTTGAAAATTTTGCTGGATTTCTCCAAAACGGAAGTGGTCAGAATCTAGGTCCCTGCACATCTTGAGAGCCCTAATCACCAGCTTTCATCTGATACCCAGAGCCTGGGCAAAGGACTTCTTTTTCCCCTGGAAAATAGCCTCTCTTTGCGGCCACTCGCCCTGGCCCACCCTGGCCACGCAAATTAGAAATTTGCAACTTTTGCTGGATTTCTCCAAAACTGAAGTGGTCAGAATCTAGATTCCTGCACAACCTGAGAGCCCTAATGGCCAGCTTTCATCTGATACCCAGAGCCTGGGCAAAGGACTTCTTTTTCCCCTGGAAAATAGCCTCTCTTTGCGGCCACTCGCCCTGGCCCACCCTGGCCACGCAAATTAGAAATTTGCAAATTTTGCTGGATTTCTCCAAAACTGAAGTGGTCAGAATCTAGATTCCTGCACAACCTGAGAGCCCTAATGGCCAGCTTTCATCTGATACCCAGAGCCTGGGCAAAGGACTTCTTTTTCCCCTGGAAAATAGCC